AACCGTATTCAGCTTCATAACTTAAAAAATCAGACTATCAATAAGAACATATTTCTTATAGAAGCATATAAAATATTCAAAAAGGTGGTGCTATCCAGTGCTATCTGTGGTTAAATTATTCCCGTAGATTATTGGAAAAAACATAGAAAGTAGTATAGCCATTTTGAAAAGTAGTTTGATAATTTGTATCAAGAAGCTTAAGTGTTACTTTGATCCAATAATTCTTTGATTCCTTCCCAAGAAAATAATTCTGGATATTGAAAATATGTATAAATATGTTTAAAGTAGTCATTTATGATAACAAATATTCCTTAAACTGAATGTTAAGTAAATTTTTGTAATTAATTTGATGCAATATTGGGTGCTGTCAAAAATGGATATTTTTATAAGGATTTTCTCAGGGTAAGTGAATGCATGTAATGTTAAGTTAATAAAGAAGACATTGCAAATAAATGTAACTAAAATTTAAAAAAAGCAAAACACCTCATGGGTAGAATTTTAAAAGGACAGATTTTAAAAGAATCTGGTAGACATTTACTTTTAAGCTCAATCAAGGTTTTAAGTATTTTAGAAATATCTGAAGGTTGCTTGTAATTTTTTCTGAGACATATATTTGTATGGTGCTCTTTATAAAGTTGGTGTGTAGGAGGGAGCCACGTTTGTTGGTGACTGTAGCCAGCTGCCCAGACCCTGTGTATCGGTGTTTCCTTTCTCTGCTCTTTCTCACATAAATATCCAGGAGGAGGGTATATACTGTTTTTCTGTTTCTTGAGAATTTGCAGATTCATAAATTCCTAAGATATATCCTTGCAAATTCCAGTGCTTCACTGGCTAGTGGTTGCCACTGTGTTATGGGGTTATATAATTTCCCCTCTTTTTAATATTTCTCTGACTTCTGAACTATCTTTAATGAACATGGTATTATCTTAAAAGCCTTTATCCTGTTGGCAGTTAATAATCTTTGCAGTAAACTCTTCTTCCTGAGGTAATATATTCTGCTTTTCCAGTAATGTCCTATCTGCTGTTAATCCCATCCAGACATTATACATTTTAACTCTAGAAGTTTGATTTGTCTTACTTTATTATCCATGTCTATTTGACATGGTTAGTCTTTTTTGGCGGGAGAACATATGAAATACAGTAACTGTTGTAAAGTCCTTGTCTAAAAATGCTATACTCTGTGCCATTGGCTCACACTTATTATTTAGTAGGGAAAATATTAAAATGCAAAAACACATTTTAAACATGTATAAGCTATAATCCTCCCCACTAAATTTAAGAATTATAGTATTAGAATAACATTGTATCTGCTATCTCTGCTAATTTTTCTAAATATTGTTAATGTTTGTATCCTAAATAATATATCATTTAGTCTTACATTTCTCAGTATAAATTATCTTCTGCTGTGTGTTTTCTAAAACTTGATCTTCTTCCTTAACATTGTGTTAAGATTCATTGTTATTGATACATATACGATATGTACCCATCTGTCATGTGTTTATTTTTAATCCTCTATAGTAGTACTTGAATATATTACAAATTTTTTTTTCTTTTGTTTGTGGTTATATGGATTTTCAGCATTGTTTTTAACAGTGCTACTAGGAACATTCTTGTACATGTCTTCTGATACACATGTATAAAAACATCTCTGGATTATGTGCCTAGGAATGGAATATTTTGGTCCCAAGGGATATACATGTGAAACCTTATTAGATAGTCCCATATTGTTTTCCAAACTAGTTTTTACTAATTTACAATGGTGCTCTTTTTATATATATATACACACACACACATGTATGCATACGTGTGTGTGTGTATACATATGTAGATTTGTCCATACATACGTATATCTGTATGTATGTATGTTACTGTTGCAATTAACACTGTAATAAATGCCTTCCTGCTCAAATATATTCACCTTTTTCTTCTTTTTTAAGATTATTATTTATTCCCAGAAGCAGAATCATTGATTTAGAGGATGTGATTGTATTTTCTAGTAGGCTGACCACCTTATTTTAATTTTGGTATTATTTGTCTTGACTTCTATTTACTTTTTAAAATTTAGTTTTATTATGAAAGTTATACATGAGCAATATAGTCAGATAGTTCTACAAGATTTATTATTTAAAAATGGCAATGCTCTCCCCTCTTCTTGGCCTCATTTACTGCTTCTCAGAGGCAAACTTTTCATTCTTTTTCAGCTGATTGTTTTAGTATTTGCCTCCATATCTGTAAATAACCTGCTTGTATTTCCATTATTTAACTTTTAACTTCTTTGACTCCCCATTATGGAGCATGAAGAATTACTCTCCTCATTACTTCCAACTTCTAGCACCAACCCAGTTTTATATGTGCATTCCTCACTCATATAGTTTCTTCTAAATAAATACTTTAGTGCTAACATTATTATGAAACATAAATGCATAGCTGAATTATTTAGCAATCGTTACACTTCTTTTTATTTTCTTTTAAACAAAGGAGAGGCTAGTAAAAGAAGGGACAATGGGCTGGGCCTGGTGGCTCATGCCTATAATCCCAACACTTTGGGAGGCCAAGGTGGGTGGATCACGAGGTCAGGAAATCAAGACCATCTTGGCCAACATGGTGAAACCCCCGTCACTATTAAAATACAAAAAAATTAGCTCGGTGTGGTGGTGTGCGTCTGTAGTCTCAGCTGCTGAGGAGGCCGAGGCAGGGGAATTGCCTGAACCCAGGAGGCGGATGTTGCAGTGAGCTGATATCATGCTCCTGCACTCCAGCCTGGCCACAGAGCAAGACTCTATCTCAAAAAAAAAAAAAAAGAAAAAAAAAAAAAAAGAAAGAAAGAAAGAAAGACAGGACAGTGAGGATTTTAGAATCAATAAAGATATTTTTCTATTGCAAAATAGGAAAACATGTTAGTCAGCATTAAGTCAGAGGTTCCTGAATGGAAGGGCAACTATAATAAACTAGAATAAAGTAATAATCTATAATATACCAGAACGTTTATTCTGGTAGACATGTGTATTATTGACTAGGATATTGAAAGCCTAGTAAAATGAGTGGTATGCTTGAATTCCTTTTTATCTAATCTAGTAGATTAATTTTTTTCTCATGTTACATAAACCAAGAGATAACTGATATCATTTCTTTTCCACTAAATGGTCTGGTCTCAAAGTTTTCTCTTAAGGACATGATAAATATATTACATTCAAATAGAGCAATTTTATTTCCTGCTACATCATTGTGGTATATCAAGGGATTCAACAGATATTTGTATTAAGTGACTAGGAAGTTAATTCTGGCTGTGCACTCCATATTTATTAAGGTTTAATTGTTATGATGTTAATTGCTATGTGTTATGTGCTGCCATATTTCAAAGCTTGGCATTATATATATTTTTAAACATTTACATATTTTTAAAAGTTAAACTAGTTATTTAATACTTTCATTGTTCTAACCTGGGCAAATTTTATGAATACTTTTATCTGATAGGATATTTTTATCTTTACCCATTCAGTGATCAAATTGGAAGAATATTGGAGAAATAATGTCACTTTGAATATAAACTCTCTTCTTTCTAAGGCTCTTCAGATTGGCCTGGAATCATCTACTCAAAAGATTGTGGTCAGAAAGACCAGGATTTAAATTCTGCTTTGCTGGTTATTAGTCAGGGGAATTTGTTCAGATTACTGAAATTCTTTGGGTTTTAGTATCTCCAACTAGGTATGATGATGTTTCTAGCAAGGTTGTTTAGAAAATTACAAATAACAGATGCATTAAAATAATAGACACCTTGTGTGTAGCTTAACGTAGTCTACCTGTTGCATCTTCAAAAATGTTCGTTATTTTTAATAGAATCATCATCATCATTTTGTTCTTAGCTCCAGTCTCTAGGTGTGCACTGATAGTGATTGTATGCATGCATCACATAAATGAGTGGGGAAATCTTAGTATCATAATCCCTCTGTTCTTCTGTGGTTGCGGGGCAGATGCTGGGGGTTGTTACTGCATATTTCTCTCTCTCTCTCTCTCTCTCTCTCTCTCTCTCTCTCTCTCTCTCT